GGGGGGGGGGGGGAAATCACATGTAGAACACGGCACATGCGCAAACGAAATTCGGTGAGTTAGTATTGCTGACGAGCGATCAAAATCAACATTGGTCTGTGCTTGATGGGCTATTTGAGCTAGAAATCGAAAGAGGATTCTTGGCAGCAATTAAAATTTCCAATCGAAAATCTATAGGTGTATGGCCAGCTTTACTGAACAAACTGAATAAAGAAACTGATCACTAAGGGTAACTGCTCCAGTTTTGATAAAATCCCTTTATTATATTTTGTAAAACACTTTGCAAACTGTTGTCACTATATGCATCGTATACTAAAAATATGCAAGCAGCATCTCAGCCTTTGTATAGGACAGATTTGAGACTAAAATATATTTTTACCCCTGAAGGCAAATTTGGGAAACCCCCACTATATGTTTGCTTACAGCAGCCCTGAAAATATTTAATACCTTTCTAGTGGTTTATTTGGAGCAGGATTATATAGATTGAATTACTATCCAATTTACCGTCCAGACCTTGAGATCTTTAAGCCTGTGTTAGGACAGACAGTCCTGTACATCTAGTTTACAATTTAATTGATAATGTGATCTGCCAGCAGTACAGACAGGGTTAATTATGGCAAACATATCCCCAGCCCCCTTCTTAACACTTTATAGAAGAGGGAGAGCAAAGATTTTTCAGCAAGTAAAAAGTTAAACAGAATTCATATTTTATTAGTTATGCTATGCGGATGACAGAATGTAACAAACTAGGTGTTATCCCAATTAGGCTGAAAAAGAGGAAGCACACAAAATCTTCAAAAAGTGTCTCCCCCACCATACATATATTTCTATTATATATGAGAACTGGAACAGATGCAAATCATTGCCTGGCAAATATTATGCAGTTAAAAAGAAATAGAGTTGACTTTAGATGTATATTGAGGGTTTTTGCCATGTGTCTCATTAGGATGATTTCCCTTCACTTCCTTGAAAGAGAACTACGGGGTAAGTGTTTTTCCCCATAGTTCTCTTAAGGGTCACAGAAGTACATATACTAGCCTCCTCCCGTGACCCAAAGCTCAGTATATCGCGACCTACAGCTCACAGTATACTGAGACCGCCGCAGCCAGGACGGATCCCAACATTACTGTGGAGATCCACCCAGCTGCGTGACAGCTGTGCCCGCCCCCTCCCTGCCTGTTCCTCCAGTCAGTGCTGGAGAATCGGAGCGGAAAGGGGGGGGAATCCCTGCAGAGAGCCATGACTGACAGTCACAGCTCTCTGCAGGGATAGATCGAGAAGTGAGAGAGCAAAGGTATGTGTTCGATCACTTCCCGATCTATTGAGCCGACGTGCAACAGCTTTGTCACATGTCGGCTCAAATTATGAGGCTGAGTGATTTTCACTCACCTCATAGTTCTCCTTTAAGGACCCAATCACATCAGATCTGTTGTGTTCCCCTTTTCAGCAGAGGCTAATGCAAGGGCACTGAAACATGTATGGGTGTGAATAGGAGCAGTCCACACCACCGCGATCTATTGCGTTCTGTTGCAGTGCAATAAAAAAAAAAAAATAGAGCACGCTCTACTTTTTTTTTCCAGCGCAACATAATGTAACAAAAACAGATCTAATTGAAGTGAAGAAAAAAAATACAAAAAGATGTTTGTCCACTCAGGACATCTTAATTGTCAAAGAGATGGAAATTGCAAGTGAACAGGCCATCTGTTGACTTGCGATTCCCTTCCATTTGTGGTATGAACGTGGTTTTGGTTCGGGGAAACTCCATTCATTCCCTATATCAAATGTTAAGAATCAAACAAATGTTCAATGTTTTACTAGATTCTGATGGCATTACTGAACGTCCTGACAAGATTCATCACATGATAGTATGAAAATCTACAAGTGTATGGCGAGCTGTAGGGCCCATTTACACCAAAGAATTGTGCTAGGTGCACATTACTGTGTGTTTATGGCGCAATGCACCTAGTGTGTGGTACCGTGCCATTAATCTAAATGTATATGCGACTTTTATTTCGAACTCACAGTACAGCACACTGCGCTATGCTGCAACGCACTGATTTCCCCTTTAAACAAATGCCAACCCATTAGGCAATACCATGTGCTTAGCACAACACTCCAGTGTGAATGAGCCTTAGACTAGAGCAGGGGTAGGCAACCCCGGCTCTCCAGCTGTGCTGAAACGACAAATCCCAGAAGGCACTGCAAGCCACAGGCATGACTCCCAGAGGCAGAAGCATGATGGGATTTGTAGTTTCAGCACAGCTGGCGAGCCAAGGTTGCCTATCCCTGGACTAGAGCATCCAAAATCCAGAGCAGTTTGCCATGGCACCCAATCAGCTTTTGCTTTCATTTCGAAAGCTTAACATAGAATCTGATTGGTTACTATACAGAGCTGCTCCATTATTAGTAAATCCCCTTTATAATCCTTCTGCAGCAACACGGTAACAAAATCCTAACACGATGGCAATGAAAGTGTCTATGCTCTATAGCCGTTCACCAGTTCCAAAGCAAACGTGAAGGAAGAAATCTTCCCGCCCCCTACTGCTTTGAATATAAAAAGCCGATAAAAAACATCACATAATACCACAATAACAAGGCACAGTATTCGGCTTCTACATGAACCATATGCACAAGGTGGCAATGTGACAAACAGAAAGAAGCAGCACGGATTTCAGGAAGTGATAGAAAACTAGACAAAAGTTCTTTGTTTTGTGCGCTGGCCATCCGTGCACGAATGTGAGGCGCGGGGCTCCTGAGTGCGGGAATCGGCTGTAGGGATGAACTCCCCCTCCCCTTCAGGCAACAGGTTATTGTTATCGTCCTGTGCTGAGTGCTCCCTCATGTGCCGCTGACCCGGGGCTGCCCGCTTTTGTCCCTTTCTCACCTGCTTGCACAGATACTGGCTGAGCTCTCCGCCGCTCTTCTGAGCGATAGTACCCAGTCCCGACAGGCTGAGCTGGAAGTGCTCCATGTCTGGAACGGGACTGAAGGGAGGAGGCCGCCACTCGGCCGTGTGCGTGCACTAGAAGCCCCAGCACTACTCCACACGTGGGGAAGACACAAGCACAACGGACCACTTCCGGGAGCACGGTGACGTCATCACCGGTGCGACCGAAGCTGTCAGCGGGCCGTCTCAAATACATTTGATAAATCTCACAAGCGATGAGAACATCAGATGCTGGTGGCTGTAGTTCCAGAGGGGAACGTTTGTTCCGAGGTCTAAGCTGGCGGCAAGTACTTACCTTGCCATCTGAAAGTGCTGGTTGTGTGCCAGCCAAGCTGATTCAATGGCTTCAATATTTTGTCAGTCATGGACCTAGAACATGTGTGTAGTCTTCGGACTTCACTTGCTGCATGCTTGTCCTGGAGCAGTGACTCAGATAGTATAAAAGCCGGAGATCAGCAACTAGAACTTTCAGAAAATGTCTGTATACAAAGACAAATTAAAGTTGTAGTGTGAAAGTTATAAATATTATATAT